CACCACTTAGGTAAACAAAATGACACAATTCTCTGTCTTCCTGCTGTGGCCTTTTAACAAAAGTGGCTGCTAGTTAGATGTTTCTTCTATGGCACCTCCATATGACCTAGGGTGCACAAAGTGCTGGGGGGGGGGCACGGTGTCTGACTTCCCTCCTGGGACCCACTTGAGCTGCTGGTTTCCCTCTGAGGAAATATCTGATATACAGGGAACACTAGATTGTATACTGAATTAAAGTGAAAGAATTCTTGAGGCTCTTCTGACAAGCTACTTCATGATTAGCAGAGAGAGGCCCTACTGTAAGCTGTATTTTTCCAGGAACAGAAGAATGGGGAACGGCTTGCTTCTCTGTCCCTCCCCTCCACAACTGAGCACCACATCTGTCCTCCTCCCACTTTTTGCTGATTGCCTTTTTTTCCCATCCTGCCTCTCTCAGTTCACTTTCTGTAAAGTCCACGTAACAGAGGAAAAAATGCAAAAAGAAAAAAAAATAAAGGAAGGAAACAGGTTTCTGAGGAATGATAACACTCAGAGTCAGAGTTCCAAAGTGCACCTAGAATCCCTCCCATTCCATAAGAATAACGAGGAAGGTTTACAGAGGAGGAAGGGGCCGGGCAAGGACTACAGCTGTTAGGTTTCTAGAAAGCACCCAGCTTGCCAGTTTACTTAGCTATCAGACCTAGTCAGTTCCCAAGACTAGATTGTACTGGTTGAATCACACTCTAGTCTTTAGGCTCTTGAAGACTTGAACCTTACAACTACTTCAAATTGGTCTTGGTGGCTCTCATCTGTATTCCAGACACTTGGGAAGCTGAGACAGGAGGACAGATTGAGCCTAGTAATTCAGGGCTAGGCTGAGGAATATGGAAGAAATACAATGGGGGGTGACAGTGGTTGTGAGGGGATTGCTTAGTTTGCTCCCTGTCAAGAGAGCAAACTACTGAGAAAGACAGAAGACTCAGCTGCAGAGTGAAGTAACACCTTTTACAGTCAAGATATGCTGGCTTGGGTATTTTACAGGAGCTCTAGGTCCTTCTCTTTCCCTACTGGTCCTGTCTAGATACTGAGCCAGTCCAGTGCCTTCCCAAAGTTTCTCCTTGAAGTGTCTTCTGGGAAGAAGCAGCAGCTACCATTTCAGGGAGTCTGCCTTGGCTTTCCCTGCCTACCCATCTATGTTCCTCTAACTTTGCTTCAGAGCCATGTTCCAAAACAAATAAGCAAAACAGTTCTCACTCTGCCATCTATGGGCACTTGTTTGTGCCCACCTGGATTCTGTCATTGCCACTTGTGTTGCCTTCAGGCTGAGCCAGCCTTTGGCTTTCAGACTCTTTACTTCCTGAGTCATCACTGAAGATGGACAGATTTAGCTCCAAAACCATTTCTAATCGTGTCGGTTCCTTGCTAACCACCTTGACCAGCTCCCCATTGCTTACAAGATAAAACCCAAGCCAGGTCCACACTCACAGTTCACGTTCACTCTGCAGCTGTCTCCTGCTCCCTCAACCTGAACTCTTTCATAAACAGAGACTGTTAGTCCTACAGCCAGCATCTTTCCATAGTCTCTGTAATTTTATGCCAGATTCTTCACAGTTCTAAAAACAGTTCATCATATAATTTTACAACCCTTATGAGTTCATCTAAATCTACACTGGGCTGCATGATAGCCAGATGTGGCTGTTTAAACTAAGATTGGGAGTGTGGCTGGAAAAATGGGTCACTGGTTAGAAGACTATATATACTGTTTTTCCAGAAGGTCAGAGTTCAGTTATCAGGTGGCTCACAATCACCTTGTAAGTCCAGTTCCAGGGAATCTGATGCCTCTTCTGGCCTCCTTCGGTGCCAGCACACACACATATACACATATAAAAAAATTAAAATAAAAAATAAAGATGGGAAAAAGTAAAAATGAAGTGGAATTATAGAATAGGAACGGAAAAATTGAATTGCTCTAGTGTTCCACTAGCAACATTTCCTGTGCTTCACAGCCACACGTGGCTAGTGGCTACTGTGTGGCATGCTGTCAATATAGAACATTTCCAGCATCGTAGAAAGTGTTATTTCTATACATGCTTTCCCACATGAGTGCCTCTCTCAAGGTTGAATCTGGTGAAACCATTAGGCTTAACAATTTTATGCATGTATGGAACTTTAACCTCAACAAGAGTGATTCAGTTCCTTTCCCATTAAGACACTAGGCCAGCATGATGACAGGGTTTTTTTGTTTTGTTTTTTTTAAAGCAAAGACATGGTATAGTAAGAGAAGAATTGAAGGCCAGCAGGGGTCTCAACCTTGTGTCCCCTGCCCCAGCAACTTACTAAGCTGATTTGCATCACAGTACACACACACACAGTTTTTTGAAATAGGATCTCTCTATATATTACATTCCTGGCTATCCTGGAACCTACTATATATACCAGGCTGGCCTTAAGCAAATTCTCCTGCCTCTCTGCTGTCAGGGTGCTGGGATTAAAGGCATGTTTCACCACACCCAGCCTACACATACATTTTTTTTTTAAAATAACACCTCTTTGCTATCCATGTTAGCCTTAAACTTGATCCTTCTTAGTGTAAGTACAGCCATGCACCATAGTGCCTTCCTCCACCCAAAATACATAAAGGAGTTAAAAGTTAAGGAAATGGCATTTGTTAACTTCAGTTCCAGGGGGATCTAACATCTTCTTTGGACCTCTGTGGGTACCAGGCATGCATGTGGTGCACAGACATATACATAGATAAAATACCCACACACATTATAAATGAGAATGGTCTAATTATAGATTCATAAATTTGAATGCTTGGTTTCCAGTTGGTGGAACTGTTTGGGAAGGATTAGGAGGTGTGGCCTTATTGAATGAGATGTGTCATGGGGGCTAGCTTTGAAGTTTCAAAAGCCCATGGCATTCCCAGTGGGTTCCTCTTCTGCCTCATGCTTGTGGACTAGATGTAAGTAAGCTCACAGCTACTGCTCCAGTGCCATGCCTGCCTGATATTATGATGGTCACGGACTCTAATCCTCTGGAACCCTGAGAACCCAAGTTAAATGCTTTCTTTTATAAACTGTTTTACTTATGGTGTCTCTTCAAAGAAAGTAACTTAAGGCACATAAAATAAAAATAATTTTTAAAGTTTAGCCTGAGCTAAATGATACCCTGCTTAACAAAAAATTTATGTGTGGGACTACAGAGATGGCTCAGCAGTTAAGAGTTCTGGCTGCTCTTACAGAGGACCCACATTTGATTCCCAGAACCCACATGGCGGCTCACAACCATCTGTAATTCCAGTTTCAGGTCCAGAGCCTTCTGGCCTCTGCAGGTACCAGACACATATACAGTATTCTTATATACATACAGGCATAACACTGACATACATAAAGTAAGAACTAAAGTGCACAGTTCTGGGATGCATACAGAGATAACAGGTGACCTGACTGGGGTTTGCTTCAGATAGTTTGGATAGGAGAGGTGGATCCAACAGGGCTGGATCTGAGTTGATGGTTTCTGGGGTTGGCTGGTTGGGATAACACATGAAGGCTTTCTTGTCCTATTCTGCTCTGTATGGGTTTGTGTGTAGTATATGCATGTATATGTCTGTTTGTACACATGTGCATGTGTACGCTAGAGGTCAATATAAGAGGAAGAGGTCTTGTATTATTGTTCTAACCTTTGGCTAGCTTCAGGGATCCTCTTGTCACTGCTTCCCTGGCAGTAGGATCACAGACCTGTACATCGAGCATCTTACATGGGTGCTGGGGATAAAAACTCCCATGTTTGGTTCTCATGCCTACTAATCATTTCTCTAACCCCTGTTCCATACATTTTGTTTCCCATTAAAAAAACAAAAATTCTGATACTATTGGTTTATGAGTTCCACGAGCTCCTTGGTTTTTTCTCTTGATGGTATTTAAGACTGAACTAGTGCTTCACTGATATAAAGTGCTCTATCACTAAATTATATTTTCACTCTTGTTTTTTGCTTTAAAAAATAAAGCTTATTTTTAAAAGATTTCACTTTATGTATATGAATGTTTCATCTATCTATGTGCACCACGTGAATGCAATGTTCTTAGCAGTCACATAAGGATGTTGAGTCCCCTGGAACCAGACAGTTGTGAGCCACTGTGTTGGTCACTGAAAACAAGTCCTCTGCAAGAGCAGCCATTCCTCCTCTTAAGCACTGACCCCCTCCCTAAACTTTAAATGTATTATTTTGTATGACGTGGCAGTGTAGTCAGGCATGCACATGATCTGGTCTAAGAGTGGAGGTCAGAGCACAACTTTTGGGAGTCAGTTCTTTTCACCTACCCTGTGGGTCCCAGAGGCCAAGCTCAAGTTGTCAGACTTGGTGGCAAGTGCTTTACTAGGCTGAAACATTTCACCAGCCCGAGGCCTCATCGGACTTTCTATCTCCCTGCCTTAGTTTCTTGAGTAGCTGGGATTATAGGTTTGTGCCAAAAGACCTATTCTGAAGCTTCCTTACCTCCCTATTCTCCTGCTGTATCCTGGCACTGTTCAACTTGACCCTTGTTAGGTCAAAACCTAAGAGGAAGAAACGCGCTTCTTTGAGAGAGAGTGGTCTATAGCTTTGATGCTTTGGAGCCTAAAACTGGGACAAATGCATAACCTCGTCAATTTCCTCCATCCCATGTTACACACTACTGAGGAACCTCAAGGAGGGCACACTCTCTGCTCCAGGAGGGATTGGCCTTTGGGCCCTCCTGCTCGATACCTGAACACAGGGAGACATTTCAACACTGAATAACTTGTGACTTCTCTAAATGGCATAGTCAAGGCAAGACAAGCTAAGCTTCATAATGGCAGTTTGGTGCTTGATGGTGTAGAAATTCCATGCAATTGTTAGGACCAGAGCTGCCGGTAGGCAGCTAGACCTCTCACTGGGTGTTTAAAGACAAACATTACTAGACAGGCACTTTCCAGGGGCCAAAACAGTGTGCTCACTCTCTAGCCAACTAATATCCCAAGACACAAGCTCCACACTCACAATAATGTAAAACCATTTAATTCTAAATCAAATCACTTTCACAACAGTGAAAATCAGGGGCTGGTCAAGGTATGCTGCCTTTCATGTTCCCATTGTCCTTGTCCATGGAGGTGGCAGAAAGGTGGAGCCCGAGGACACAGAAAACACAGAAGGGAAAGCTGCCTTGGCCTTGGGATGAGGGGTGAAGAATGTAGAGGAATGGCCCATAAAGCCCAAGTTGGCTGTCTTGCCTCAGCTGCTGACAGATGTATAGCCCTGTAATGTTCACAAAGGGCACATGCCACCACAGCTGTGCTACTGCATGCCCTAGGATGATTTTGCTGGTGCACACCTGAATCATCCATTTTACCGGATTCCAAATGGCTTACTCTGCTACTCACAACCCCTCTCTCATCTCCTTTGTGTTCATTGGCTTAAGTTTTCCCTCTACTACTTAGGGCCATGCTATACTGAGGGATCCTACCAATTCTCTCTAGAACAGAGACACTCTCCAGGGGCCCCTGTGACTGGGGATTTCCAAGTGACAAAGAATATTTAAAATCTGTCAGGCATACCATAAAAGTTGGTGGCTTATTCTTACCAGCTAGAGTTGTCAAACCACCCTCCTACACAATCCTTCATACTGTATTCATTTCAACACTAACACTGGCATTGGCAGGTGAGGACTGTGCAGTGAGGAGGAGGGCTCTTTCACCATCCTCAAGGTCTAGGGTTCCATAGATTATTTTTTTTTTTTTTCGAGACAGGGTTTCTCTGTGTAGCCCGGGCTGTCCTGGAACTCACTCGGTAGACCAGGCTGGCCTCGACCTCAGAAATCCGCCTGCCTCTGCCTCCCAAGTGCTGGGATTAAAGGCGTGCGCCACCACTGCCCGGCAGATTATTATATAGAGTTACATCTAGGAAAATCACCAGGCAAGGCTTTCTCCCAGTTTCTATTATTGCTGGGGCAGTGGGAGCTGGAGAAGTGAACAAAAGGGTCCAGTAGAAGCTCATCTTGATGCCCTGCTGAGGTCTCCAGGAAGAGGTGACATTTCTAAGATGAGGCCCGACAGACAGAGCAAGAACTGTCTCAGCATGTGAACTGTTTTCCTGCCTGGCACCACAATCCCACAATCAGATTCAGAGGAAACAGCTTATAAGTTCAGGAACAAATCAATGTGAGGAAGAATAAGGAATGATGACCACACTGTATCTCTGTGGTCCTTGCATTACATGTCACCAAGGGTTGCTTGCTCAGGAGCCTCAGGTGTCCCTGGGTTCAGTACACATTCAAATCCATGAAGCCAAACCAGTATCAGATGAAATCAAGAGTCCCAGTCTCTTTTTAAAAGGACAATGGCTTCTGAGGGTGGTAGTGTTCTACATGCAGCTAGGCTGACCTGAGAAAGCCTCCAGTGTCTCTGGGCAAGTTCTGGGAGAGAATGACTCAGGCTTCTACAGCCTAGGGGAAGGGGTTACCGGTCCTGCTGTTGCTGCATCAGCCCTGAAGCAGAGTAGTCAGTCTGAATTCAGCAGCAGTCTAGAGGAGAAGGCTGATAGGAAATCTGAGTCAAATGACATTAGGGACAATCTTATACCAGGAAGCCAGCAGGTCATTCAAGCTGCTTTCTAGGGCCAAGACACTGAAGAAGGCCCAGAGCCAATCAAAGACCAGAGTAAGGTCATGTGTATCTTCAGTTTCTGCTTCTGTAATCAGCCTTCTTGGGCAGTAATTCTTATGTCTTTGCCAAGGAAGGGGAAGGCAGGAGGAGCAGTACTGGGATGTGGAAGGGAGTCTCTCAGGTTAGGGAGTAGAGGCCACTTACCAAGGAGTATGTAAAAGATGAAAGTAAGTTTCTGTAAATACCATTTGGTTCATCCCTTCATTTTTGTAATTTAAAAGTTCTTGTGAAAGAAACTGTTTCTTTCTTCCCATCTCTTCCCCGTGCAGAGCTGGGACCTGCTGAGGAGGCTGGAGCAGGGCTTCACATTGCCACCCATGAGAGGTGATTCAACACAAGACCTGAGCTTATAGAAGAGTGTTTACAGCAGTGGTGAAAGTGGGGGTTCCTCGCCAACTGGTTTTGAGTTCCAAAGCTCTAATGGAGAAGCAAGACTCCTTGATGTGTTTCTGACCCTTGATCCCAGGGGTCAGGATTAAATAAATCAAACACAGGCGTGGGTGCGGCATATCACCAATCCAGAGGTGCTGCTGTAGATGTAAACAAGGTCCTGTATTAGGCGATCAGGAGCCAGAACATGATCACCAGGGCGACAAATAGAAAAAGGCGTGACAGGAACTGCTCATCCACATACTGGGGTGTCCCAGGGACAGCTAGAGAAACAGGAGGAAGAGACTTTGTTAGAAGGCTATAGCTGTGCATGCTGCCCACTGGGGCCAGAACTGGAGAGGATGAATCTTCAGTTCTTTATACAAACAGAATCCTGCACAATAAAGACTTCAAAACGTCAAGTAAAAGAAACCAAAGCAAATACAAGCAAAATACTACAATGAGGCTTTGATCTCCAAAAGAGCTGTCCTACATATGCAAATGAGCCAGTGGACTACCAGGAAACACCCACAGGGAGCAGAGCCCCTCTTACTTGTCTTCCCTATACTGTGCCCCATACATGGTACTCTTTGGTGGGTCTTATTTTTAAAAGGCAGTATCAAAAGCAGAGTATGGGCCTTCTGAGACCATAAGGGCTCATACACGAGCACTGGTACTCCCTCGTCTCTCTGCAAACTGCTCTGGATGGCTCTAAACCTATCTTGTATGCCTGCTCTTCCCAGAACCAAGGCCCAGAAATCACATGGCAAGATAGAGGGAGAACTGAGTGATTGACTGAGAACCTCTGCTCTTAGAAAAGCTGCTTGTTGCTGGGTGGTGGTGGCGCACACCTTTAATCCCAGCACTTGGGAGGCAGAGGCAGAGGCAGAGACAGGTGGATTTCTGAGTTCAAGGCCAGCCTGGTCTACAGAGTGAGTTCCAGGATAGCCAGGGCTATACAGAGAAACCCTGTCTCGAAAAAACAAAACAAACCAAACAAACAAACAAACAAAAGAAAGAAAGAAAAGCTGCTTGTCAGAGAACTGTAGAGGCAGGAAGGCAACTGAATCCACGTCTAGGCTGTGCAAACTGTACCAAACATGACAAAGGAAAACTGATCAAGAGTCCAGCCTGGCTGCAGAGTGAGCTGGAGGAGATCTAGTCTGAAAGCTGGACCAGGGTAGAAAGCAGCAAGCTAGTCACAAGTCCCTCTGCTTCCACAGGGATCTATCTTTCCTTTAAGACACATTACATCCTGCCCTTTGGGGTCCCCTTCCTCTGAGAAAACAACATGCGAACTGCAGGGAAACATTCTAGGCAGACTTATATGGAGTAGTGCCAGAGTACATTGTGGGGGAACATGTTATTCCCTCACAGTTGGTTGCTCTGATAAACTCATGCAGGCAGGCAGCAAAGAGGTTTATTGCCTACTATGTCCAAGGAACTGGATGAAGCAGGCAACAGCTCTGATGACTTCTGAATGGATTAGAGCACTAAGCTCCTGACCAGGCCTACACTAGTCACTTCTATTCCTCATACTGTACCAAGGGCCCAGAAGGCTCCATTACCATAAGCAGGGCTCAACTAACTTTGGCATCTTTTATAGGATCCATAAAATGGGTGGTGGCTTAGGTGTCAGAGTGTAACAGTTCAAGCTTTGCTGCCTTGCTGTACTCTGAATACAGCTATTACAGACAAGAGGCTAAGGAGAAATACAGATGACAGATATAAACACAGTTCCCAAAGGTCTGAAGTTTGGCATCAGCCCCATTTTATGTTCTAAGAGATTCCAGGGAACAGGAGGTCCTAACATTTCACTCCTCCCTGATCCAAAATGGTTAACGTGAGTGAGTGTGTGTGTACACATGTGTAGGACTAAGCTTTTCATTAACTAAGTATTGTTTATATTTTTTAATTTAATGGTCATGGGGTATTCTTAAAATCACTACTTGCAGTGTAGGTAATGAGCCCCTCTGTTTATAACAGAACATAACACATCCCTCATGTACCTAATGCATGGTTAAGTGCTCAGATCATTGGATGAGTGTGGCAATCTGCAAAGAACTTAAAGGATTTTGGAAAGTCTGCTATGCATGCAGCGATAGTGATCTGTAGCTTCTGCAGCGTCTATACTGCTAAATTCCAAGCAGTTTTCCAGCAGGATATGTTCCTGATTTAAGGAAATCGGGCTTACCTGGAGGAGGCCTTCCATCATTTATGTTAAATGCTGTGGCAAATATCCCAAATGGAAATGCTCCAATTCCAAAAGACATCTGAAAGCCACCATCTCCAAACCCAAATCCTTGAAATCCCTACAGATAAGAAAAGCAATTGAAATAAATAAGCAGATTTATTCCACATCTCTCAGTGTCTTACATCACAGCACGAATATGGTACCCATGTTTCTTCTCATCCCTCTGCTACCAACTAAGGCCTTGGCTCTTCCTCCCAGCCATGCCACAAAGCAAAGGAGCTCTGGAGGCACCTCTGACCTTCTACCCTTAGCTTATAGCTAAGGAGCTATAAACAGTCCAAAAAGATACAGCTCTGACCAAAAGTGAAAAATATTGTTCTCAGGGTTTATACAGTGTGAGATAATTTTCCAGGGTTCCATATTAGCTAGCAAAATTTCCTACATGTTATTTATAATACACAGCCGGCAGTCAGTCCCATGGCCAAATGCAAAGGAGCATCACAATAGGGTACATAGTATCTGCAATAGCAAAGAAAGATGGAACTCTGATTTGTCAACAGTTCAGTCAAACAAAATCTTGTAACGTTCTCTAAGGAACTTGGTGCTCATTTATGCAACAAGACAGAAAACCTGTTATGAATATATTGTCAAGATGTGAGTATTTTTCTTAAAGACTCCAGGGGCTGTGGATGTAGCTGAGCTGGCTGAGCACTTGCCTAACATTCATGAAGCTCTGAGTTTGGTCCAAAGCACTACATTAATTTAGCTAAGTGGTGGTAGTCGGATAATTAGTTTCCTATCAGCCTGGTCTATATAACAAGACTTCCAACAAGACTCTTACAAACAAACAAACAAACAAAACACAAACCCAAATAAAAAACAGAAACAAAACACAAAATAAACCAAAACATTTACATGTAAGTTTTTCATATCACATAAAATTCTGAATATTTAAAACAATTTAATTTCTTCAGATTACTGTAAAACCTGGATATGGTACTGTGTCTCAGCTCTTGGGAAATGGGAAGAGGAGGAGGAGAAAGAGGAAGAAGAGGAGGAAGAAGAGGAAGAGGAAGAGAAGGAGGGAGAGGAATAGGAAGAAGCAGAGGAGGAGGAGGAGGAGGAAGAGGAAGAGGAGAGTAACATATATTTGTCATTAGAAAGTAAGTCAGAAATCTTTCCAAATAGCTGCTGTCAGCAGTTTGCATTCCAGCCTTGGTTTCTCCCCAAATATGTTTCTACCCATTGTCTTTCCCAGGAGTGGGCTTAGCAGAACAGTAACTGTTAGCAATCAGCTACTCTGAGTGCAAGGTCTGCACACAAGACACAAATCCAGCCTTTCCTTTCCTCTCTCCCTACTCTGACAAGATTTCACTAGGTAGCTTAGGCTGGCCTCAAATTTGCTATGCTCCTGCCTCAGTCTCCTGACTGCTGGAATTACAGGTAAGTATGTTCAAGAGTGGCAGCTTATGTTTAATTCTTGCATTAAACATTTTACAGGAGACTAAATTTGAACAATCCAATCTGAAAATTCAAACTTTAAAGAAAAATGTATTATTATTGCATGTAGGTGTTCCTATGTATATTACACATGTGTCATGGTGCATATGTGGTTAGAGGCCATCTTTGTGGAGTCAGTTCTCTTTTTACCTATGTAAGTTCTGGGGATTGAACAAAGGTCACCAGGCTTTTGTGAAAAAGAGCCTTTACCCATAGAGCCAACTTGCTGGCTCTGAAAACTCATGCTCTTAATCACTGTGCACAACTTACAAATTCTTTTCCTTTCTTTGGACCTCTAGTGAGCTCTTCAGAACAAATGATGAAATAATGCAAAGACTGGGGAGGAAGGCAGGCAGGCATGGTGGCACACATCTTTAATCCTAGCACAGCATCCCAATCTATGTATCGAGTGCTAGCTAGCAAAGACAGGGCTTCATTGTGAGATGAAAAAAAATTAAGAAGGAAGGAAGGAAGCAAGCAAGCAAGCAAACTAGACTAATAGCAGCTGCAGGTGCTTAGGACCCAGAGATGTGCCCTGAGCCATCAGGGCCAAAGCCTCTGGCTTCCTGAGGTCTCTGATTTCTGTTGCTCGATAGTGCTGTTTGAGCAAGCAGAGCCTAAGAAGGTAAGGGAGGCTGTCTAGCAGTCGAGAGCAGGCCTTCAGTAGACCCAGATTGTGTTTCAGTTCTGTTTGTGCCCCTGGACAGGTACACTACATATATCTATCCCTCAGCTACAGCCTTTACGTGGATTTATATGAGGCTTAAAAGAGATTGGGCTTTAAATGGGTTTTGAGAGGTATGGGGTTGGTTAGGGTTTGATAGTAATTAAATAATGGCTGGATCAATGCCCTATGTCACAGACTCCCCCCACTCCCACCCCCCCAAAAAAAGGAGATTGGGCACACAAAACTGTTTGTTTTTTTGTTTGTTTGTATTGAGACATGGTTTCTTTGTGTCACCCTGGCTGTCCTGGAATTCACTATGTAAGTCATAATGGCCTTAAACTTAAGAGATCCACCTGCCTCTGTCTCCTGAGTGCTGGGGTTAAGGTATACACCATCACCTGGCAAAACTCTTACTATATAGTTCTTCTATAATGTCATTCAAGAGGTGTTTCCTATTGCCAGGCTGTGGTGACATGAGATATATGAGACTCTGACTCAAAAGTATAAAATAAAGGAAAATAAAAGAATAAACAACAAAAAAGAAGCCAAGAATGGTGGCACATGTTTACAGCCCAAGCACTTGAGAGCTAAGTTTAAGGCCACCTGCATATGGCTATAGGTGGAGACCCTTTCTCAAAAATAAAAGAGTGGCCTAGAGAGATGGCTTACTAGTTAAGAGCATTTCTGGCTCTTTCAGAGAGCAGAGTTCAGTTTCCAGCACCCATTCAGGAAGCTCACAATCACTTGTAACTCCAGATTCCAGAGATTCTGGCCTCCACAGGGAACATCCACACATATACATAAATAAATGATGAAACAATAAAAGACCTAGAATATGAACAAACACACGTCTGAAACACAAGATTAAAAAGATAGCATGATCACATTTTTTTTGTATTTCCGATTTTTATATTTTAACCAATTTTCATGCCTGAATTTCAATATGGAAAAATTACATGCAATAAAACTTGAAGTAGACTCCTCAAGTAACCAAATAGAAAGAGGGGTATTCTGTAAAAGTTCATATTAATGACAAATTCGACACTGGCTAAGGGAGATGCTAAAGTATTTCACAGCAAATCAAATTTTCTTCTGTGCTATTTCTTTTTTTTTTCTTTTTTCTTTTTTTAAAATCAAATAATAATTTTTACTTATTCACACAGGGGTTATAAACACAAAACGGCAGGATGTGGGGAAGTGGATGACACCGGAGTCTGGGTGATCAGGAGGAGTACAGATATCTTTCAGAACATGGTAGCATGATCACATTTTAAAGATACTTTGTTTAGCATATCATGAAACATACTGCCAAAATTAAATTTGCTAATCAGTTAGCAGAAGAGTGAGAAGGACATAAAAGTAAGAATATATAGGCTAGAGACATGGCTCTATGAAGACCCAAGTTCAGTTCCCAGCACCCATGTCGAGTAGCTCACAGCTGCCTTCCACTCTAGCTCCAGTGGAACACGATGCCACTAGCTTCTTACAGTCACACATATACCACTGCAAACACATACTCATAGTTTCTAAGAGAATTAAAAATAATGTATAGTATACAAATGAAGAGAACTGTAGAAATTAGCATATATTTGGTTCTAAGATTCTAACAGTTCTGGAAAATAATTTTCTTTTCTTTCTTTCTTTTTTTTTTTTGGTTTTCAAGACAGGGTTTCTCTGTTTAGTCCTGGCTGTCCTGGAACTCACTTTGTAGACCAGGCTGGCCTCGAACTCAGAAATCTGCCTGCCTCTGCCTCCCAAGTGCTGGGATTAAAGGCATGCACCACCATCGCCTGGTGAAAATAATTTTCATTAATGTATTTTTTTCATTTTTAATTAATTTGAGACAATTTCATATATTCCAAACTGGCACTGAATTCACTAGGTAGCTAAAGAGGTTTGAATGAGAATGGGTCCTATAGGTTCATATTTGAATGTTTGGTTCCCAGTTGGTGGAACTGTTTGGGAAGGATTAGGAGGTGTGTCCTTGCTGAAGGAGGTGTGTCACTGGGGGTAGGCTTTGAGGTTTCAAAAGACTTGAGATATTTCCAGTTAGCTCTCTCTGCTTTCTGCTTCTAGATAAGGATGTAAGCTCAAAGTTACTGCTCTAGCACCATGCCTGCCTGACTGCTACTATGTTCCTGGCCATGAGTTACATCCCCAGTCCTCATTAATATTTTAATAAGAAATTGCTAATTGAAAAAAGACTAATATTTTATTTGAATATGTACATATTTTGAGCCAGTAATTCTAAGAATTTACCATAATAACTGTGCTTCTGCACAAAACTGTAAGTTCATCTGAGTATGTTTCAGACAGCAAAGGTAGAAGGTAAGTGCCCTGTAATACAATGGATGCTATTATATTAGGTCTGTACAACTCAACAGCCACTGTTAAATGTCATGACTGTGGGACTCAGCAACATCTTAAACTGCACTGCTGAAACTCTCCAATTCTCATGGGCACATCCCACAGAACAGAGACCATTTGCTAAGTTAGTTGTTAAATTACCACTGCTACAGTAACTACCAGAGCACATTAAGGCATTTAGTACCTGTAAAATAGATGAAAATTTAAGAATTATAAAACAAGAGTCACATATTATAAAAAAGTAAAAAACAAAAGCCAGGCATGGTGGCCTATGTTTTCCTAATGCCAGCATTGGAAAGTCTGAGGCAGGAGGATTGTCTAGGCATGGTAGCCTATGTCTATTATACCAGCAGTAGGAGACTGACGCAGGAAGATCGTGAGTTCTAGAGCAGCTTGGGATACATAGTGAGACCCTATCTCAAATATCCAAGAAATCAGGCTGGTAAGACAATTTAGTATTAAAGGGGCTTAACATGAAGCCTAACATGAAGCCTAACATGAAGCCTAACATGAAGCCTAACATGAAGCCTAACATGAAGCCTAACATGCTAAGTTTCATCTCCAGAGTCCATGTTGGAAGAGTAACTGACTCCCTAAATTGTCCTCTCATGTCTACACACAGACTCCCCCACCATATGCATACAATGATAATAAAGATTAAATTTAAAAATCTGAAATAAATAAGTAACTGTATAATCAATAGACATACATGTATAAATTCACACACACACACACACACACACACACACACACACACACACACACAC